CAGAGAAGGAGACGTATTGCCACCCATTCCATTGCCGCGTCTTTCAACTTGAACTGTTTTATGGTATGAACGTGAGACCAAGGCTAGTACTTAGCCCGTCGTAAATCTAGCCAGACGATATACCTATTTTATGTACTTAAACTTTGTTATTTATACGCGTGTGTATTAACGGGTTTTGCGGCTTTTATGGGTAAGGGATGTCCGTGATTTTATGGGGTTGGACTTTTAAGGGGGTTTTTAATGGTCCTTTAAAAGAAAAGCATGATTTTTGTGTTTAGAATGCATTTAAGATAGCATTTCCTATAGTAAGTCAATGATTATTATTATTCTTCTCCGTGTGTGACGAGGGTTTGTTCAGCAGTGGGCATTTATAGGCTGTTGATGATGATGATGAATATTATTATGTCATCAAAACCGTTTTTTTTTTGTCCCAACTTGTAATCAAGGTTCCAAACCTTAAACTCAGTCCTCAACATTTCACACAAATCCTATTTAATAACAAACTACGGCTGGAATTTTGATTACTACTAGACAGTAATAGATCCAAATTAATTTTAAATTGGAGCTATGAAATACCTGAATGTAGACATCAGCCTTAATGTAATCAGCTTCCAAGTTACAATCCATGTAATTAATACTTGAAATGCCTTCATTCGACATGATGCTACTCATATACCTTGAAATTTCATGTTATGTGAGTATAATAATATTAAAATAGGTATGAAAATAGACTATCTGAGCTAAAAATAGAAGAATGTGCCGTAATAGATAAAATAGACCTTCATTAACTTAAGATACTGATTTCAACCAAAAATCCAATTACGGCATAGATAAGAACAAATAAGTAATAGTAAAGATATTTGTCCTTGACACTATTCTGCTTTTCTATTTAAAACAAAGTCCTAAGCGTGTGTTTTGGTTAATAAATCTTTATGAATGTTATTCTCAACTAATGTTAAGAGTTACTTCTATTAAAATGTAGGTACAACAGTTAAACCTACATCGTACTCCAACGCCACAAACTACAATTCGGTACATCCCAACTACTCACTACGGCGAACCAAATAAAATCTCGACCCGTTCCAATAATGTTAACAAAAATAAATTGACCTCTCTGTGAATCGTTTTTAAAATTGCCAGATTCTGCCTACCCAGCACGATTCGCGGTGTGAAACGAAAAAATCGCCGGTAAAGCCGAAAGCCGTCGGCTCCGATTTTATTCACCTTTTTGGACGGCACCGAATCGACTGGAGCGGTTATTATTGTGTTTTGTAGAGGAAAAGTAATAATGCTGATGCGATGACGCGGCGATTTTGTTGGAGTATATTTTTTAGTTTTTTTTATGAGCCTTTCGGTAGTGAATTACTTACGAAAAGTGTCGTAAACGCGAACAAGTAATTGACACGGGTGATATACTTCATAAATCACATGATTATTAACTGACCTATACCATCGCATCACTTCAAACTACACATTTCACAGTTAAACGCATGTGTTAATCTAGCTATTAGTAGGTACACCATCCGACTAATTTGTGTGTATCGAGATCAATAGTGACATACATCTTGAAACATTTCAAATATTGCGAGTACTACTACTCATATACTTATTTGTACATATCTCTACTTCATCTACTTTTAAAATAAAGTTACTGGAGGCCCAATTACCCCCACCCCCCTTCCCCAATCCCTGGATTCCCAACCATCTTCATAATTCCTAATCTCAAAAGGCCGGTAACGCCTCTGGTGTACCAGGTGTCTATGGGTTATACCGATTGCTTACCATCAGGTGATCCGTCTGCCCGTATACCCGTATACCCGTATAAAAGATTCAATGTTCCATACAAATCTCTGTATCATACATTGTTATAATACATTTAGTTAAGATTAACTACCTCTATACTCGGGGTTCAGGTCGCTTGATAAAATGTTACTGACGTTTTTCTACTAACACATTTCAACAGAGTTTACTGCGGTTAACGTTTTCTCTTGCACAGGTATTACTTTGTTAGCATTTATCACAAAGCTAACATTGTTGTAAAATAATTATCAAATCTCCACTCACACGTTTTGTGAATACAGATAAACCGAGTTAAATCTTACTCAGCTGTTCTTTGATTAGTTCTGAAATAATGGGTAAAATTATGTTATACCGACTTCTTTTTGAAGTCGTTTAATAATACATAACATCACGCCTTTTATCCCCGAAGGGGTAGGCAGAGGTGCACATTATGCCACTGTACAATGTAATATCCACTTTTCACTATTTATGTTATGAGTCCCATGTAAGAGTGAACCTATTGCCATGTACCGGGCACAATTCCAGAGTCCATGCTACTACTGAGATTTTTTTTAAAACCCTGTAATACTTTGCCCGACCCGGGAATCGAACCCGAAACCCCATGCCCAGCAGTCGTACTGGCGACCACTCGGCCAACGAGGCAGTAGTTTAATAATATTAGTCGGTTATTATATTTAAAACTGCACCAAAGAGTAATGATCGCGAGATAATTGCGGACAAGCATAATTACATACCATCTTCTTCGTGTGAGAAGAGGCCTTTGGTCAGCAGTGGCCACTTATAGGCTGTTGATGATGATACATACATACATTACATACATACAGGTCAAAGTAAGAACCTCCTTCTTATTCAAGTCGGTTAATAAAGGCAGTATTTCCACGTTACTATACCGTCTTATTAAATTCTTTAAAAATAGAAGTAGGATATAATGAACAGTTTGCAATTGAAAGCAATACTATTAAATTGTCGCGGAGAACCTAACGGGTAACCGGGGCTCCGGCTCGACGTGCAGGAGAAGCAACGGGGTGGTTTTTAGTCAGTAAAAGTCTGACACTCCCTCCCGCCTCACCCAGGCGGGAGCAGTCATTCGATGATTTTCCCCCTTAAAAAAAAACTTTTAAACTATATTGCCGACGACTGCAAAATTCTTTCAAAATAATTTGTGACGACTTTAAATACCTTCCTTAGACAAGTTTCCAAAGTACTTAATAGCTGTTGGTAGGAAAGCACTCAGTTAATTCATAAATTAAGAGAATGGACTAAAGAGTCTAGCACTCCAACTATTTCTACTCTAAACGTTTTAGTCCCACGGGACTCGAACTGGGATTTCATGGTTAAAGACTGTCCTTAAGTTTTTTTTATTAAAACAGCGAGGCTCTATAATCAGTATTTTACTTATAGTTTATCGGTAGTTTATCGAGTGTAGCAAAGGGCGTGCAAGAGATTTGGGATGTTTTTAGAGATTTGGAATTTTTATCATAATTAATGAAATTTCTTATATATGACTAGTTTTTCATTTCCATCGCTTAGTATACCTAATAATAAAGCGAAAATAATTTGGGCACTTTCTGTCTAAGACCTCAGGTTCGCCTGAAAATGTGCTCTAAAGGTCAGTTGGCGGAGTATGAAAGTCCTAAACTCCTTACTCACCCTTTTCTACACTCCAACCGTTTACTCTATGATTTCAAGTGGGAAAATGCAAGGAAATTGAGTAGCATATTCATATTTTTCTCCTCTTAATATTATCAACAGAAAAATCACTACAAACCTATTTCGAACTCCGTCAAACTTCAACCGCGGAGGTTCATTGTAAACTCTATGGTATAAAAATTTTCATAATGCTCCCGGCAGCTGATGCAATATTAAATTTTAAATATCGAACGCTTGCGACGCCCGACATTCAATTTGCCGCGAAATCTCTGTTCGAAACCGTTGAACACACGGTACTAAAAATAACGATTTTGATGTGAGCTGCAGGCGGTCGATTTAAAAGATCATAATATATTTAATGGCGGTATACGGTTTTACTATTGTCTTGTGTAACGGTAATTTTATATCTAGGCTTTAAAATACGTTTGAGATTTGCTGTATTAATAATTTCAATGCCTATGTTATTATAAGTACTAGACCGCAGCTTGTCAGTATCATTAAGTTTAAAATTATCGTTAAGCGTAGGCACATAGAAGTAAGATTTGCATATGACAAGTTTTAGATTCTGTTATGTAATGGAGGTAGAAAGAATAAAAGAAAAACTACGACCAGTTTGTATAATAAATGAAAATATTAAGAAGTAGTATGTTTATCTACATGATATACACAGTTTATTTGGAGCAACTTATTAGATCAATCGCTCGATTTACTGAGAATCCCTTTAAGTTTGTTCGTACGAAAATAAAAAAATCAAAGAGCAATTTTTTCTCGTAGCCCGCATAAAAGAGAGTACTGATCAAAATTCAAAAGATTTTTCCTCCAATAGAGATATTGTGGAAATACTTCATATTAAAATGTAATAAAATTCTCCATCGCTAATATAATTCTGTGGCGTGGACGGAGCCTAACGCTGGCAACACATACGATTGTCAATTCGTAATAAGTACTATTTTATACTTTATTTGAATAGGATAACAGTCGATTTTAATTAATAAAGATTAGGGTTAATGTTCTCTAGAGACAAATACGTTTCAATCTTAATTTATAAAGTACAAATATATCAGAAGTTGTGGCCATTAAAAGAGAACATGTTTTATTTGCCAAAGTCGTTTAATAAATAGGACAACAAACAAATCCTAGTTACATGCCCTCAAAATAGTGCCAATATTGACCGACCGGGCAGTAACATCGATTAATATCTCCACCTTATTTTTAAAAACACCATCATATTGCCCGAGTGCCCTCACTATTTATGTCAACAAATTAAACAGGGTCGGTGGGCACGTACGCAATAAAGCTCCCTGTGTACACACACAACTCGCGCAATACCCGCTGGCGGCGCTACTGTCGACCAATCGATAGGTGCCCGGTTGCCTGGCAACGATCATGTTGCAAAATAAACAATCAGATTCGGGCCCCCGTCTAGAACAAATTTACTTAGTTATTTTATTACTTGTGTCAACATTTTAGATCGATATTATAAGATTATTTACTGATCGGGAGTACGTAGCATGTTTTTTTGATATATTTTTATTAGTGAGTGAGTGAAAATGGTGTTGTTACCGCCGTGCGCCCCCGAACTTTGCGGGAAGGATTTCCGACATACTTTGAAGAAGCCAAGCCCGAACTATCCTTATGGATACAAGACAAAGAAGCCCAGGGTTGTCCCGGCGTTTACTATACAAGGTAACATACATAAAATACATCTCAGTACAATTTTGAAAAATTACAAGTATCAAACTTTAAAGACTTTCTTAGCCAAGGCTGTTCAAGCATCATAATAGAAATAAAATTGTGTAGCTGCAAGAGCAACAGCTTGCCAATCAATCACCTACCCTAATCTGGCATCCCTTCAGTTTAAAATTGAATAAAATTCTAATAGAATTTGTTCTTAAGGCGTGTACGAGATCTATTTAGGGCAGTAGGTTACTATGGCGTTTATTTTAATTGACTAGCAACATGTTGTTGACTGCATTTAAATGGGTGCTATCCTATAATATTTTTTGAAGGATTCACCTTATTTTAGTCCGTAAAATGATATAAATAACGCATAATTTTCATTAATAATATTTAACAAACCGAAATGTATAAATGTGGGCATTAACTACACCCTCACCGAAGATTAATATTTCGTTTAATTTCTGAGAAAAAATTTGTTAATATTTTATTCTAATTCTTCTTCTCCAGCCATGCAGAAGAACACCAAAGTTATTCCTCCACCGAAATGTAGTGTGTTCGATCCCATGCCACCACGACCTACTTTGTTCAGGAAATGCTACCAAAGAGGGGAATTTCCAGTATGTATCGAGTTTACGAACTATGGCAAGCGTTTGGCGTGGAAGGTAATTTACTTGTTCATATTTATTAGTGCCTTACATAGAATACAATGTACCACAGATTGTTTAACCAAGGGTGTTGCATTCTTGTTAGCAAACGTGAGAATGCCATTCATGAGTTCAACATGTGCTACGAATTCGTAGCAACGTTTTTAAATTGCTACGAAATTTCGTAGCTGCTACGACGAAGAGAATTGTTTTTGAAATGTGTATAGTTTAATGAACTCTATTAATTGTTTGTTCGTGGAACTTTGTTTTTTGTGCCAAAGTGTAATTAGGTAGCATAAATATGCCAATCAACGAAAAGATACCTGAGTGTTCCGGTACTTATCGTAATTGTGCGTAGGTGGTTGCGTCATCAACTTGTGTATGTATGTGTAGTTCTATAACCTATCTGTTAATTGACATCGTTGATATTGTAGGAGAAAATATCTATTACATTAATAATATCTATACACTAGTACAATGGCCAAAATTATTTCACACAAACAATACTGTAATTTTTACATTAATAAAAGGAAGCACTTACCCTTCTTTATGACCCACTTGGTAAAATGTTTGTTCTTTTTATTCAGCAGTTTTTAACTAAGAAAACCAACTGTAATTTTATAACACACTTACTGAGAAATGCTTGAGATTTAATTCCAAATTCTAGGTAATACACTACTATCTTCAAAACGGGGTATTTTCTGTTCGAAGAAATGTGAATTTGATCAATTTTAGATTCTATTTATATGAGCGAATGAGAAAATGAAGTAAACCCTAAATTTATTACATGATAATGTATTCAGCTTTGTGGGAAGTGGCCTGGAATATCCATTTATAGGTAACCCCTTGGAAGTAATAAAATTAAGTGTTAGATTCCCTTAGGAGTTTAGTTTCAAATCACTTAAACGTTTTCATTGGAAATCTTAGATTAAATACTATTATTTGTTTTGATTAAAATTGAAACACAAAATATAATTTAAGAAATCTATAAGAAGACAAGCTACCATCATAGAACAAAGTTATGACACTATAATGGGGATGATGACAGGGTATGAAAATTAAAAATATAATTAGTCCGTAAGTTAGGTAATGAAAAAATATTAGACACGTATTTTTTTATTTTGTCGTATAATAAAACAATACTTAGATAAAACGAATCAAAGTTTAGGAGTGGGGGCTAAAACGTCATTCCTTAGTATAAAATGTACTGAGAAGTGACGTCACGCGACATTTCAAATCAATATATCTTCGAAACTATTCGTTTCTGTGAGAAAATAAAAAATACGTGTCTAATGTTTTTAAATAATCTATCAGACGGGCATTAAAATAAAAATTAGTCGTCTACCCTATTACATTTATACATATAAGAAAACAACAGGCAAAAGTGATGAATAGTTTTAAAGAATATTGTTCTAAATAAATAATATTCATAAGTTTTCATTAAATCTGTTTGTGTACAATTATATTCACAGGTGCCGATTGAGAAGCTGGACTTCCACCATTACTTGCCGATGTTCTTCGACGGTCTGGCTGAGGCGTCATACCCGTACACGTTCATCGTGGAGAGAGGCATCAACGACCTGATCACGAAGGGATCCTACAAGGTCCTGCCTGTCGTGCCTCAACTTATCATACCAATTAAAAGTAAGTGTTGTTATTTTAATGTTATTGGTTGGCACGTTGAAGATTTTACAACTTAATTTGTTTTAAGTTATAATTAAAGTGCTACAATACAATACAGTACAGTGATTTGTTATTGCCTTTTGTGATGTCTGATAATTAGGTTTGTTTTACTTAAGAGCTCTCTGTTTTTACTCGACTTCAAAAAAGGAGAAGGTTCTCTATTCGATTGTATGTTTTTATGTTTGTGATGTCGCTTTCTCGAAGACGCTTGGACCGATTTCAAAATATTTTTTTTTTCTTAATATTGATATTGCATATTCGTTTTTTAGACTGATAAAAATAGTGACATTATGCAATGTGCATATAATACAAAATTTTCTGAACTTTATCATAATACATGACATTTAAGTAGTACTAAGCTGCTCTATACTACAATACTCTTCTTAGTTCAGCCTAGGAAATATAATCTACCCAGATAATAACTTGTAAGCATTTTCATCGCCTCAGAGTACCCTCGTCTGGGAGTAATTTCCAGTGCGTCTACAAGGCTCCTTTTCCACGACATCGCATTTTTCATACTGCATTTTCACACAGACCATGCTACACCATACATTTCATCACACACAAGACCGACACACACCACATCATATCACATCACTAACACACTACACCACACCACACCACTCCACACCACACTACACCACACCACACTACAGTACACCACGCCACACTACATCACACCACACCACACTACACTACACCACACCACACCATAATACATCACACACCCTACAATACCGCTCACCACGCCACACATAGCACAAGCATTGACTGGGAATATGTTTGGATTTACTTGATTTGCTGTTAATAAATTAGATTAAACTACAACTTTATTAATATACTTTAAATTTCTTAAGATTATCTACATTGTTACTAAAATAAAAATAATAAATGTACTTACATTGCATATTTACCCTAAGGTCTCAGTACACTATAATATTAACTGTGTTGGTATTATGTGTACGACAATGATGTAAAAAGAGCGGAGCCTCCTAATACAGGCATTGTTTGCTTAAAAGGGGGCTCCAAACACGTTAACATGTAATGTACTTACTTATTGACACAATAAACTATTTTTTTGTATTTTGTTGTATTTTCTAGTCTGCATTAATTCTTAATATATGCCTTATAAGGTTTGTCTGATCAGGTTCACTTTAAAAGGTTTGATGTTCTTTGAAGAGTCTTTGTGAGGTAAAGATATTAAAATTTACATTGTGTTCATTTTAATATAATATTTTTCATGAGAATATGAGTTATAATAGAGGTGAATTTACAACTACTCAGAGTTACAATTAGTTTTTAAGAAAATCTACATACAATTTATTTTATCTGGCCATCTTCAAGACCCGAGTGAATAGGTTACTTATGGGTCGTCACTCCATCGTAGACCGCATCATCGCTTACTACTCGGCGAGATAATAGTCAAACGTCGGCCCATCAAATATAAAAAAGAAAAAAATAATTGTTTGTACCTAAAGAAGTTAGTGGTCATAATTTTCTTTTTGTAAACATAAAGTGTAATTGCACTTTGCACCTACTAATCTTATGTTTTAGTCATATATTGCTTTGTCTGCAGATGCACTAGCGACGAAGCGACCCAACGTAATATGTCACGCGCTCAGGTGCATTCAAATGCTGGTGACTGGCTGCGACAAGGTGGGAGAGGCTCTCGTACCCTATTACCGGCAGATACTGCCGACATTGAACCTGTTCAAGGACAAAAACCGTGAGTAGACAGACGCCATTATTTTTAAAGTTTTGCTTGGTTTTCCTTCTTCAATTATGTTATTCCTATTAAAATGTAAATGTATAATAACAGTGGTGTGTTGCATATCACTGGTAATATGTAAATATGTATCTGTTAGATCTTTGTGTGATCGGTTTTGAAATAAGAGCACACTCCTAATACTTGGTTTTCTAGTTAGCTGCTTGGTTGAGGAGGGATTTCCCAAGAATTGGAACCAAGTTAGACAAGAAAACTTGAGAAAACATAGCAATTTTCCAAAAATAACAGCACTGTTTTAGCAGCATACAGCAGAAAAGCAAAAGTTTGATTCTTAATAAACCTCATATATTATATAGAACGTAGGCGACTATGGTAATGGCGAACAATTTACAAAACATTAGCTTCAGGTAGAACGCAAAAACGCGCACCGCAACTATCTAGTGACCGAAGTTAATGGGGCTAGCTTAACACGCTTCCCGCTTGTTTTTTGTCGAAACGTAATTGTTTTCTTCCCACCACAAAATGTATATCTGGCTGTTTGTTTGGAAAAATTGTCGTTGACGGATTTTGGGAATGATAAAGATTAGAAGAACTAATGGTCGTACTGGAGTAATTATATAGGTAGTGTGTGAGCTAACGCAGAATTAATAGATAAAAGAATAATGCTTGGTCTACCCCTAGCATCAGTCATGGAGATCTCCTTGTTAGATCATGTAACATGAACAATGTTTATTTATTTTTTGTTACACCATTATGTATATGCATATGTTATACCTACAAATAAATATTCTGATTCTGATTCTGATTCTAAGATAAGTAACAAAGAATAATTATAAAATGAAACCTTTATTTTTTAATGAACCACAAACAGCATCAACTGAAGAACCCACAAAACTGTCTTCCAGACACCACAAGAAAGCAACAACAGCTAAAATATCAAAATCTCAAGTATGACAACAAAAACTCGAGACGTACTCGGTAACAATGCGACGCGCCATGGCGACACCGCACCGCAGGCGTGAGGGCCTGACGCCACCAAACGCCCGAACGCCCAAATTTCACAGCCACATGTAATTAATCTACCCCCGGATGCCCCGACAAGTCTATTAGGTTGAAAACAATATCTTCTCGGCCCTCCAAGTGTCAATTATGAGGTGAAAATGATTGATGACGTCATCGACGCAAATCGGGCGTAGTGACGTAATTAGGTTTTGAAATTGGATGCGTGGAAAAGGAGATTTTTGAGGCTTTTTCTCACCTGATGTGTTTCGTCTTCTTTAAAAGTAAATGGATTTTGTTCTTACTTGATCTTTGTGAACATTTTCTTATGGAACCTTACGTTGCACTCGAGAAAATTGAGCTGTGTAAGAATATATTCCTTAAGTTTACTACTAGTAACAGAGGCTTTTTGTTAAATGAATTGTGGACTTTATGTTCCACTGAAAAAAGTGCAATAGGGTAGACGACTAATTTTTATTTTAATGTCCGTCTGATAGATTATTTAAAAACATTAGACACGTATTTTTTATTTTCTCACAGAAACGAATAGTTTCGAAGATATATTGATTTGAAATGTCGCGTGACGTCACTTCTCAGTACATTTTATACTAAGAAATGACGTTTTAGCCCCCACTCCTAAACTTTGATTCGTTTTATCTAAGTATTGTTTTATTATACGACAAAATAAAAAAATACGTGTCTAATATTTTTTCATTACCTAACTTACGGACTAATTATATTTTTAATTTTCATACCCTGTCATCATCCCCATTAACATTATCACTGTTTTCTGTTCTATCATATTAAAACGGTTGAATAAATAAATGAACTTTAATATACGTTTAATATTCACCATGCACTGGGCTACGAGAAATTACGTCGGACCAAATTGATCGAGGTCTACCTATGTCAATGTTTAATCAAATGCGTTTGTATTGCATCCTATTTGAATAAATATTAGCTTTGACGTAGATACTCCCAATATGTTTCTGGGCCGGTTAATATGTTATTCCAAAATTAAAACATGAGAATAGCTACTAAAATAAATACTTTCGAGTCAAGAAATACAAAATCGATTCATTACCCAGTTTTGGTTTTGATTTCCAATATATAAAAATGTGGATAAAGTGAATGGCGTATTTTTGAACTGAACATTGAAAACAGACCCCGATTTTTATTAAACCAAGTTTAACATGTCAAATTCAAAACTGAATGGTGGCAAAAAATATATTCAACATTTTGCGGTAAAGTTTGCTTGTCGGAACTTTTTTCCGATATTTTAATTATAACTAGTGAACTGTCACGGACTTTGCATGCGTTAAATTAATAGAACAACCTCTTTTTATTTTCGAGTTGGTTTTAAAATAATCAGATTGTGTAAAACCAATACAATTTTTCCTTTATTGAACACAAACAATATTCGCCGTAAACACCAAAGCTTTGTGTACCAAGAAATGCATATGACGTAATCAATTTGTATAACATCGTCTGTTAGCATGGCAAGTCAATCAAAATGTCGATCCTAAGGCCTTGTGTAGGCTACGGGAGAATCACAAAGACCGACACAGTTTCCTCTCAGAATGGACGCCTACAAGATGGTTACATGGAAAGTAATTCACCAGATAGATTGGCACTTTAGCACAGAGAACGCTTGCAACAAGGTTTCTGATATAATTGTTGATAGATCTTCAAATGACATGTCTATGAACAGTTGATGGTCAATTTTAGGTGAATGTTGTTTATAGTTTTTTTTTTTATATTTGATGGGCCGACGTTAGACCACTATGACGCCTGGTGGTAAGTGATGTTGCGGTCTACGATGGCGCACGTCGCCCTATTTGCAATCTATTCAATCGGGCCTTAAAGACACCCAGGTTAAAAATGTTGTTGTTTCGTGTAAAATAGTAAAAATGTAAGCTTTGTTATATTGATGATAATTATATGCTAGGACGGAACTCACCAGAAAATATTTAGGTACTTACAAACAGAAGATTGTAGAGTAACAAAAAGTCTAAAAAACGTATTGGATTTGTAGTAAAGGATAGAACTTACTTCTACTTTAAATTTTATTTGTCTTTCTAATGTTTTGCTTTCTAATGTTTTTGCTTGTTTATAAAATTGTGGTTAGTAATCAAAGTACGAACTCCACTAGAAATTAAGTCTTTTTACAAAACAGATTTATTCGTTGTATCAGAGGTTTAACCAACATTGTTGATAATGATGTCTTTTTCATTGCTCAAAGGTAACATCGGATCTGGCATCGACCACACGACCACGCGTGGAGAGAATGTGGGAGATCTCATCGAGAGTACGTTACAAATGTTGGAGAGATACGGAGGCCCCGATGCGTTCATCAACATTAAGTACATGATCCCAACATATGAATCAAGTGTACTTAACTAATTTATATAAAGTAGATTGCACTTATTGCTTATCGAATGCGATTTTTTTTAAATTACTTATTATTATTTTCGCAAATTTTAATCATGACGAAGTGATATTATTTTTAATATTAGATATTAACTTTGTTTAAATCGATTATGACTTTTAATGCTCATTTTTTGTAGCGTTTTATGCCTAGTTCTTAATGGTAATCAGGTACTTAAATATTATGAAGTTTTTATGATAATGTGCTTAGATTTTTTTATAGTATTAAATTTTGTATGTGTCTGTGAGTAGACTGTACGATGTGTTGTTGACTTAGAAGTTATATTGTCTTATGTAGTCAAGTTCTTGTTTACGTGTGGTTTAAAGACAAAGGGCGCTGTGTCGTGACCAAATTCAAATACCACGCGTATTCAATTAATGTTCAACATATTTTAACTTGAATATAAAACAATATACAATTGTATCGGTGTGTTTATGAACTTAGAATAATGGCTACGCATATTGAATTAAGTGTTATTCTAAATACTCACTATTGTGTTTAGTGAATTCTATTGAATTGTTAATTTTTGCAATTGTGTTTATTGCGGCCCTCGTAAGTCTCAGTTGGTTTTGTTCGAGTTTATATTACGTTATAAAATTAAGTTTGGTGTAATAAATTTTTGGAGTGATAGGTTTTGGTGTTTTTTTCGTTTTGTTTAGTAATTGATTACCTTTTCTTTGTTACATTCAAAGTATTAATTATCACTATTAGTCTATTCTTCACATACGTAAGGAAGCTTAAATATACGGATACACTTATTAAACCTATTAACTTACCCGGTTATTTTATCCACGAATTTTATCCGTCGGAAATTTTATTCGTCGAACCCGCGACACGTTGCGCGGCAGTCAGTTGCTCAAGTACCGCGCCAACCGTGCAGTCATCCACTAACCATACAGCCTATTAATTCAACAACCATATATCCCATAATTCCAATGTAGGTACAACAAACTCATCCAAAACCTACCAAAATATTCCCTTACACGCCAATATAATTCCTATATGATACCAATAATTACACATGGATGAAGTTATACTCTCCAGGGAGGCCACAGTCAATATTTAGATCAGCTGGCCAAAGCAATTTACAATCTGCGAACCCGAATCCAGGATGCTATATATGCAGGCAATTTGCATGCATGCTTCTGTTTCAGATAGACCAGTATATGTACGTGTAGTGTTGGGCATATGCACGAACCCTGATTTGAATTTGATAATGTTTTGATTTTGTTACTTAAAGTTGTGATGGTGTGGTGTTAGGGGTGATGCAAAAACTGTGTTTTTAAAGAGATTTATATTGAAATATTTAAACATTACTCAATTTGAAGTAGCACTTAGGTTAGATTGGTTAGTTATAGTATAGTTCTGTCGCTATAAATTCTTTGTAAAATGATAAAGATAGCACGATATTTAAGTACGACTTAAAATTGGTTAGCTTTTCAGCATTCGAGTGTTATTATCGTTTTTGCCAGATATGTTATAAGTACCATTGTAATGAGAAGTAATACAAGATAGACCACAATCGTAGAATTCATTTTACTATCTAAAATGTACATACAACTTAAAGATCCAATTATGATTTGCCCAAATTTATGTGAAATGTTTAAGGCAATTAACTCATTTTGTCATTACTTGCTAAATATACTTTTCTATTCAATATTCCATAACCAAACTTAAAAATATAACATTCGCATTTTTAATAAAGTTTGAAAATAAATACAAGGGGAAGTAACCAGCCGCTTCACAATGTCGGGTAGAGCTATATGAGATACGTGACTTCAAAGCCTCACAGGACGCGTATTGGCACTCTTACCCTACTCGTAGTCGCGATATGACGAGGACTGGTGCTTTTACTCTATGCCTTTGCTTTGAAACCTTCGGGCTTTTACAATATTGTAAAATGATAGAATACGAATAAGTTATGCATTTCTGTTCGTATCCAGTTGTTTGGTGAAGAAATGTGTAAAAACAAGTAATAATGAGTATCATTACTTAATGTATACCTTAATGGAGTAACATTGTAATGTTCCTAATTAGGCATATTACATTATTAGTTATTTTACAGTTATAGATGTGAATTCCAAAAAACGTGCTAATTTTTATTTTTCTCTATGTGAACACGTCATCAGGATCTGTGTTTAATTTACCTGGGATTTAGGACGAAGTTTTGGAATTTGTCCGCAGTATTAAAATACATACTTATAAATTCATCATCGTCATCAACAGCTTATAAATGCCCACTGCTGAGCAAAGCATTTTCTCACACGAAAAAGGTTTGAGCATTAATCACCACGCTTGCTCAAACTTAAAAGTTAGAAATTATGTTTTCCTTCACCATTTGTCAGTGGTGTCTATTTAATCTTAGAAAGTATGTATAACTCGAAAAAATGCACATTGGTATTTACAGTTGGTAGGTTTCGAACCGGCACCCTCATGTATGAGAGCACGTCTTAAACCTCCGGGCCATCACGACATTACATATGTATATGTTATAAATTCATCATCACAAACACAATTACAATTATACTCAAACAAAACGCTTCAATACATCAAAATAATAGTCCCCCAAGTTTTGGCAGTACCTATATAAGTATAAAAATACGTATATTAATATAAATCGAGGTGGGATCGTCCGTCTTACGTACAGTATATTTATCAGTTGACTGCAGACGCGGTCTGGATTCAACGCGACACCTTTTTAGCCCCTCAACATTTATAACTGAGGTGCAAAGATGTTGAGTCGCTGGATGTGGCCCTATAACATGATATTGTAATGATACATTATCTAAGATTAACTTCAAAGAATGTTTTTTTTTTGTAGCATAAGCCTTTATTAACAACTTTAAATCCATACTATAACCTCAGACAAAGTCAAAGTCACAGTCAAAATCATTTATTTCAATTAGACCAGGAAGGCACTTTTGAACGTCAAAACAAAATTTTTAAATATTAAATAATAAGAAAAAATGTCAGTCTGTTGGTCAGTCCTCTAGTGAAGCTATTTGCTCGTTCCAAAGTGTAAATGCCTATGGAGAAGAACGAGCAAGAAACTCCATATGTTACTCTTTTTCAATCAGGTTCACGATACAATTTTGGTTTGGTTGGTTTGGTTTGGTTACATTCTTTCGTTGAGTTGAATTATGTGAGAACAACGTAATACCAGATTTAGTCTCATCCAGATATAACCATGATCTTTGTTCCAAGCGTCTTCAGACACGAATAATTTATCTTGGCAGCAATCAAGGGGGTAATTTTCGTGAAGACTGTGCTCTGAAACTATTTCACTAGTTTTCACTGTTTCATTACTCTAAGGGAAATGAGTTTTTTTATATAATTCATTGTATTTTTTGTATATATGTCTACTGCTTATTATACATATGTCTACTGCTTATGTGGATAAAACATTATGTGGATAGGTTTTGAATTATAACTACAATGGTCAATTTTATAGATAATGTTTTCTCTCTGTATAAAGTCTCGTAGATTTTTGTTTTTAAGGGGGGAAAATCATCGACTGCTCCCTCCTGGGTGAGGCGGGAGGGAGTGTCAGACTGCTACTGACTAAAAACCACCCCGTTCCTTCTCCTGCACGTTGAGCCGGAGCCCCGGTAACCCGTATCTAAGTACTTCAGTAAGTAGAGTCATTTTAATAAAAAACCTTTAAATTTTATAAAATCTGTATAAAGTTCATTTACTTGATAATTGGGAACAATCACAACATAACATAACATAACATCACGCCTGTTATCCCCGAAGAGGTAGCATTATGTCACTGTACAATGTAACACACACTTTTCACGATTTATGTTATGAGTCCCGTAATAGTCCCATGTGATAGGGGTGAGCCTATTGCCATATACCGGGCACAATTCCAGACTCCGTGCTACTACTGAGGATTTAAAAAAAACCAGTAGTACTTTACCCGACCCGGGAATCGAACCTGAGACTCCTTGCCCGGCAGTCGCACTTGCGACCTCTCGACCAACGAGGCAGTCAATCACTGTCTCGTTTCAGTCAAAAGGAACAATCACAACTTCATATAAAATTATCTCCAATTCAACTCATCGTCGCCTTAACTAATTCTGCTTCAACTAATCTTCCAAAACATTCACCCCAACTATTCAATATACCACTAATCAAAAACCCAAAATAACATCCCAATGAAAACCTTATACAACACAAAACAGATTGACTAACAACTAGACAGGCAGACAGAATTATCTTTCCTTTTTTTCTTGATCCGATTTCCTGACGTTGCCCCGTTTAATGAGAACATAATGATGAAAAATATGAAGCTGCAGTCTCTCCCTGATATTAATCGGTACGATTTTTCTGAAGGCGACTTATATCGTAGCGTCTTAGTGCTTTTTACTGTCGGGTTTCTTGCGCTGATTGCCACAGGAATTCTTATGAATATATATGTATTTTTACGTTGTTATGGTTTGAATTTGAAAAGCTTAACTGTAGTTATGACGTTTTTGCTGTGTTGTTCTAGAACTGTGGTGTATAAAATGGTTTATATTTTGTGTATAATGATGATATTTTTCATGTCTAAATTATTTAGTTACGTTAATAAAACCGTAACAAAATATTCTCCAAATAAAATAACAAAATCGACAAAACAATACAACGCTCAAATTTTCGATAATCACAGTAAATCCCAAACAAACGAAATATCAGGTTCATTGAAAATCATTGCAGAATTGAAAATAAATGTAACAAAACGAAATGGCGAAAAAAAGTAAAAAACGCTGGATCATACAAAAAATATTGCATTGTAGAGACTTCGATTGTGAGCTATCGCGTCCAAAAACTGGAATACGGGCAAAAAATTCCAATACGAATTAGTTCCTAAAATAAAACAGTCGGAACGCAACCCCAATAGTATGCAATCAAATTATGATACTCGAATTTCAACGTTTCATTTCATTCAATTGGATGTGTTGTCGATAGTACAAACATTGGGAAATATTTT